CTCTATTCAACAAATATAGCTGATCTGATAATTTCATGTTGTCACCTATCCAGCATCATTTTATCTCGTTGCTTATCAAGGATCTACCCCTGCCTTAAATAAAAGCCTTCTAAACTGTGAATGCAAGTCAAGCCTGTTCAATATCCCCAAGCCAAACCGTTGATTCCAGATGTTAAATGTAACAAACCTTCTAAATTACTTCCAATGCATTTACATTCTTCATTAAATAAGACAAATAAAGGTAGATTCCTCTGGCCTTTGCTCAAGCAGTCAAGCCTTCAGGGGGAGCAGAGAGTCCAGTGCAGCTTCAGTCTGAACTTTGAGCACAGAAAACATTAAATTCATCATTCACCATGTGGTATGTAGGTGGAAGCTTCAGTTCAGTTTGGAGACAGAGGCTGAGAAGAGAGAGATTCTGGAAAATTTGCTTAGCTTGCAGTTACAGAAAGAAAATCACACTAACCTTCCATGCAAAACAATTAGTTCAGCTTATAATTGGGTAGAGAAAACTAAAACCTTCTGGGAGTGGTGTCTGTCTAGGGCCAGGACAAGGAATGTAGAGACCAACATGCATCAAGGGTATCTTGATTTTTAAAGAGAAAAAAAAGGGACAAATGCAGTAATACTTAAGACCTCAACTGTGAATTCCTCAGCTCAGGTTTAAGAAAAGTTTGCAGGTTGCTTAGCCAGAAGTTAAATCTTCATGAAATCTTACACCTCAGTAGAGTGATGTAGAGGTGCCAGCGTTGAACTGAGGTGGACAAGCTCAGAAGTCACACAACACCAGGTTATAGTCCAAGAAGTTTATTTGAAATCACAACCTTTCAGTGCACTTTTTCTTCATCAGGTGAAGTGAACGCAGGCACAGAATTTATAGGCAGAGAGACCAAAAGATCATAAAAATGTTGTGAGTTGAGCATCAATAGGTTGAATGATAAGTCTCTGCAGGTGATTAACAGCGAGAGATGGTGAGAGTAAAGTGTCAACAGCTGGATGGCAAATGAAGGGATGACTTATAATCTGAGTATTTGTTACTTTGGTTACACCCTCGGAATATGACTATTATACCTGTCACGTAATTCCAGCCATGTGGTTTGTCTCCAGCACTACCATATTTTTAAGTTTTTGTAATTATCTCTCTGCTTCAATTAATCAGATTATAGGTCATTCCTTCACTTGCTATTCAGCTGTTGAAACTTTACTCGTACTGTCTGACACTTTTGATCACCTGCAGAGACTTATCACTCAGCCTATTGACACTCCATTCACAACATTTGTATGATCTTTTGATCTCTCTGCCTATAAATTCTGTGCCCATGTGCTTTTCTTCACTTCATCTGATGAAGGAGCAGTGCTCTGAAACATTGTGATTTCAAATAAACCTGTTGGACTACAACCTGATATCACGTGTCTTCTGACCTCAGATGAGTAGCCGTAAAGCAGAGGAGAAATCAAATTTCAGAGGGCAGTGGCATAACTTTGCATAAACTCCAGAAGTGATTGAACTCAAGATCTTGCAGTCTACATTTGAATTCTTGGCTGGAATTAGAATAGTTATAAAGAAAAAAAAATTATATCCAATGATTTATATCACTCTCTCTACCATTGTTATAAGCATTTGCTTTTGTTAATCTTGCTTAATAGATTTAAAAATGTTTGTTTAAAAACATGAAAATGTTGCATGGTTCTTGGTTAATATTTAGAAAAACTATGTCTATGGGAATAATAACATTGCTGCCAATCTCCTCCAGTAACATAACCGCTTTGCTCTTATGCCCCTAACAGGACCTTGGATATTGTATTCAATATTAACCTTGATCCAAGCTGTCCTGTCATCTTCAAAGACACTTGCATTCATAGATCTGCATTTCTCCACTTCTGCATCCAATAAACCTCAATTTACAATGTTGCCAAGGTTCACATCATCCATAAATTTTGCCCTGCACACAAAAGGTTTAGGTCATTAATAGATATCTGGTAGAGCAACAGTTCCAAAATGAGTCTCTGAAGAATTCAACTGCAAACCTGCTTCCACCATTAAAAATGCCCATTAACCACTGTTTCACGTGACTCAGTCAATTTGACACCCATACTGCAACATCCCTTTTATTCCAAGAGTTATAGTTTTGCTCAAAAGGCACTTTATCAAATGCCTTCTGCAAGTATATATACACTTCAACTCTATTGCCTCAAATACAGTATCTAATGAAATTTTGTTTCACTGACTTTAATACACTGTTTCCTTCTCTTGCTGAACAATCCTGAACTTATAGTATGTTTCATTTTCTATTTCCATGTATGTATAAGAATCCACATTAAAAAAAACTACAAGACAGAAGGATTTGGAACTTACTGAAACATGTACAGGCATTCCCCATGTTGCCAATGAGTTGATTTATTAATTTATTTTCATTTATTTATTCTCACATGAATTTTGTTACAAAATATAGCGAAAAATGTAGAGTGTCACCATTCTTTGGCACTCAAAAACATGGAAAAATAAACTAAAACGTAGAATATAAAAGGTAGAAAAGTTTAAAACAAAAATTTAAAAAGTGTGTTCAACTTCACAGTCCTTTTTGGTAAGTGCTTCACCATGGGCCAGTAGCCAGGCATGAGTCCCCTTCACCGTGCCACCACTGCTGGAAGGAAAGTTGCTACTCTTCAGCGCTATCTCACCTCCATCAACACACTCAACACTAGGAGTCCTCACCAATGCAGATGCTACCCGGTACCGCACCGGCCCAAAATCAACTCTGCCTCCGTGTGTCCATTTCGTGCCCATCTTCCTGATGTAGCCACTGTCACCAAGTCTTGTTCTGCGCCCAAAATTACCTCTGCCTCCATGAGCTTGCGCTGGACACAGACACCACAGAGAACCCAAACTTGCAACTGCCGCAGCAACTGCGAGTCAGTGCTACATCTGCTTGTCAATGCAGAAGCCACTAGGAACCCAAACTTTGCCTCTAGTGCAGCAGCCATAAATCAGTGCTTGGATCTCATTGATGCAGAAGCTGCCAGGAACCCAAACTTGCCTCCGACGTGTTACCATGCTGGGCTCACGCCGCTGCTGTGACCGAGCTTGGAGCTTAGGGCTGTTCTCTCAAATGAGAGGGTCACCATGCATCAGGCAAGGAAAAAGGGTTGAGAAGTAGAATATTTCATGGTAGTCAGGGCAGGACTTTCACACTTAATAGTAGGTTCCTAGGGAGTGTTGCTGAACAAAGAGACCTTGGGGTGCAGGTTCATAGTTTCTTGAAAGTGGAGTCACGGGTAGACAGGGTATTGAAGAAAGTGTTTGTTACACTTGCCTTTATTGGTCAGTATAAGAGTTGGGATGTCACATTGCGGCTGTACGGGACATTGGCTAGGCTACTTTTGGGATACTGCATTCAATTCTGGTCTCCCTGCTGTTGGAAAGATGTGAAACTTGAAAGAGTTCAGAAAAGATTCACAAGGATATTGCTGGGGCTGGAAGGTTTAGGGGGAGGCTGACTAGACTGGGGCTATTTACCCTGGAGCACCAGAGGCTGAAGAGTGACCTTATAGATGTTTATCAAATCATGATAGGTTGAATAGCTAAGGTCTTTTTCCTAGGGTAGGAGAACTAAGGGGCAACATTTTCCAAACAGAGGGTGGTGTATGTATTGAATGAGCTGCCAGAGGAAGTGGTGGAGGCCAGTACAGTTACAACATTTAAAAGGCATCTGGATGGGTACATGACTAGGAAGGGTTTAAGAGGGATACGGACCAATGCTGGCAAATGGGACTAGATTAATTTAGGATCTTTGATCAGCCTGGACGAGTTGGACCAAAGGGTCTGTTTCCGTGCTGTACAACTCTATGACTCTAGTTTCAGCCATTGCAGGAATTAAGCCCATGACGTTCACATCACTTGGTATCTCGAACCAGTCATCCAGCCAATTGAATTGCATTCCTGAATCAGTTTGCAAGTCAGAAAAAAAAACAGGACCACAAAGCAGCTGTTCATAAGTCAGATCATTAAAATGATACCCATGCATGGGATCACATTCTTATCAAAGTTTTCATGTTGCAGTTGGTTGCAGCACCATGGAAATCTTCAGACTCCGATGACAAACAGGAATCTTGATACATGGAACTTTCAGGACTTTTCAAAAATGCTTCATGGAAAGATACGAGAAAGAACGACAGAAAAACTGAGGCTTTCAGTGCCAAATTCTGGCCCTTATAAACTAAGGGAGACAGTTCTGCATACTTGTAGAATGTTTCTCCAGTCAATTAACCGTAGGATCTAGGTGCCTACCAAAAAGAACTATTACCTTAGTCCAGAGGCTGTTGCCAGGTGACAGCATCATTGATGCATCAGGGTTTCTCCAGTCTGCTTGTTTGACTGTTAAAACAAAAAGACTTGACTTTGTTGGATGCTGTTTTCTGAAGTCACTATTTCGTGAACCGTGAAAAGACCGAAGTGTCCTTTAACACTGCTTTGAACTGGAAGCTCAATCATATGATACATCATCTTTTACAGCACACTGTCGTCCATTTTCCAGTTGTCAATCCAGAAGTGTATTCCCAATAGCCCCTTTCGCAATTTCAGAGGGGATATGTTTCATGACCTCTTATAACACTTCTTACAAAAAAAAACTTCAAATTTAATTGCAAGTCGGTTTCTTTCTCTGCAGAGGATGTCTGACCTAGAGGGCACTGCTTGCATCGGAAGCATGTTTCTTTTGCTACGTAGTGACTATTTATATACTTTATAAAATCACTGAATATCACATGGAGAGGAAGATGGAAAGATGAAAAGATGAACGCCGCAGCACTTAGTTCAAGAGAATCCCCGGTTCTCTCCAAGAAAAATACAATATTCTAACCAAAGTGCAAACTACCTTGCAAAGTTTCTAACTCTTGCATCTATTGAAAATTCGCCCCTCCTCCAAGAAAGGTTTAATTCCACACTATATTAGATTTTGATTTACATGTGCGTGGATACATCCCTTCTCTTAAAAAAAACTCACCTGAGCAAAATAAAGTGACGCGCCATGTAGGAGAGAGTAAAAAGGTTGAGGAAATGGGGACTCAGTTACTCCTAAAACACGGTTTTTTCAATGCTTCCACTCCCACGACTCTGCCCCTCCCAAACTTTTTTTTAAAAAATAAGAAAACCGTTAGGAACGGCACGTGTTTCGAAAATTCAAACGGCTCCCCCGCCTCGTGGCGCCTCGAGCGCCCAGCGGGAGCGCGGCAACTCTCAGCTTGTTCAGTCGCTGGAAACGTAAGGTCGATGAACTGACAGGAGCAAAAACAAGGATATTAGACACGTCCTACGTGTAGGTACTATATACGTGAGGCTTTTAAATATTCGTGCAACACGTTGGGGGGGCGGCGAAGGAAAAAAAAAAATCCTTTTTTTTAAAAACAAAACGCACCTGTCAAACGGCTTGTCTTTCACGACTGTCGTGATCGAAGTTTGAATATAGATCGTGCGTCTGCTTCTGTGCATGTCAAGATTTTTTTTTTGTATGTGTGTGTCTGTAGTCCTGCCACCGGTTTGCCCGTTGTTCTCTTTATTTGCATACCCACGGAACAAAAGATAAAAGTAGAGAGCAAAGCGCGTGCTTTGCTGCATCAGTGGGTTAACAGGTAACTTAGTGGTGTCCCAGGTGAATTAAATTTGCACACACTGCCAGGCTTAATTAGATCTTGTTTTTCTCCTCTCCCTTTAAGCGGTGGCGAAGAGCCTTAAAGCCATATTGGTATTCGTAACGGTATTGCATTACAAATTACACTGAAAAACCTCCTATACAAACTTCTTTTTTTGTCACTGGGGTTGGGAGTGAGCTGTTGTGTGTGAGGTGTGAAACTAAAGTTATCGCACATGGCCCGGTGCAGGTCACTAAAACCGTCTGCAGTACGTTTCGCCACACGACCTGAAGTATTTCCATTGCTCCTGTACGCAGGAGAAAAAGCCCACAAAATTCAGTAAATCTGGTTGTACTGGAGTTCCGTTTTCAGGTATGCAAAATAAGTTGGATCAGTTTGGCCGTTTCCAAGTTTTAATTTTTGTTTTCCTTTTCGGTGATTCCTCAATTTTTGAAATTCCTCTATTCAAAAACATTTTAAAATGAAACAATTTAAAAGATTCTTAACTTTTTAAAGAGTTACTCGATTGTTCAAAACTCGGGACAAAAATGTTGTCAAAACATTTCCTCTTGCATTCTCAGGACAGAATTACAGGAATACCAAATCTCAAAGGGAACAAGCATAAAAAGGCACTGATTGGTTGGACATTGGTAGAAGTGTCACCATAGAGAATTTATGAGGGAACAGTAAACTGCTAAACATTTAAAATTCGAACCAATCAAGTTCTTTCTAATTTGTTAAGATATTGCCATTGATAATACACCCAGGAAAAGGCTGAATGTTTAGCCTAGTTGATAAGATGTTGATCAATCAGATTATCTTATGGTGTAAAGCAGGCAAATTATTGAGCTCACCTCCTAATTATATATGCTGTATATACATATTTCTTATTAGTGCTTGTGCTGCGCTGGCTGACTTTAAGTCTCAAATCTCCCAGTTTCTGGATTGGTGGAAATGGGATGTAAGATGAGAGATGCCTGTATGCAGTAATTGCCTGACAAGTTTCAACTTCTGATAGGCAGCAGAAATCAGCATAGGACCCCCTACAAAGCTCTCCATCCCCGAGCTCATGCTGGAGTCTTTAGGATTTATCTGCGTGCTTACCCTGGAAATGTTAATGCAGTGATCAGCAAGTGCAACTCAACTTAAATAGCCATGCCCGTATCCAGCAAGACCTGGACAACATATAGGCTTGGGCAGTCAGAGACAAGTAACGTTCTCGCCATATGAGTGCCTGACAATGGCCATCTCAAGCTAGAGTGAATCTAACTAAATTAAATTTAAATTAATTACTTTAATCTAATACTCAATGGCATTACCATGTTAAATCTCTAACAATAGCCTAGGGTCTATCATTGATCAGAATCCGAACTGGACTAGCGATACGAATACTTCACTTACAAGACCAGGTATGAGGCTAGGAATTCTGATGTTCAAAACCTAACCTCCTAACTCTCCAAAGTCGGTCCACCATCTACAATACAAGTTTGAAGTGTGATGCAATACTGTAACTTGACTGGATAAATGCAGCTCCTACAATGCTCAAGAGGCTCAACATAATCTGAAAAAATACAGCCTGCTTAATTGGTGCCCCATCTGCCACCTTCAATGTTCAGTCCCTCTGCCATTGATCCACATTGGAAAGGTAAATCAGGGCAGGACTTATACACTTAATGGTAAGGTCCTAGGGAGTGTTGCTGAACAAAGAGACTTCGGAGTGCAGGTTCATAGTTCCTTGAAGGTGGAGTCCCAGGTAGACAGGATATTGAAGAAGGCATTTGGAATGCTTGCCTTGTTCAATGCATTGAGTCTAGGAGGTCATGTGGTGGCTATATAGGATATTGTTTAGGCCACTTTTGGAATACTGTGTTCAATTCTAGTCTCTCTGCTATAGGAAGGATGTTGTGAAACTTGAAAGGATTCAGAAAAGATTAACAAGGATGTTGCCAGGGTAGGAGGGTTTGAGCTTTAGGGAGAGGCTGAATAGGCTGGGGCTATTTTCCCTGGAGCATCGGAGGCTGAGGGGTGATCTTACAGATGTTTATAAAATCATGAGGGGCTTGAATAGGTTGAATAGTCGAGGTCTTTTGCCTGGGTTGGGGGAATCCAAGAGTAGAGGGCATAGATTTAAGGTGGGAAGGGATAGATTTAAAATGGACCTAAAGGATAACTTTTTCATGCAGAGGGTGGTGCATTGGTTGAATGAGCAGCCACAGGAAGTAGTAGAGGTTGGTACAATTACAACATTGAAAAGATGTCTGGAATGGGTATATGAATAGGAAGGGTTTAGAGGGTTATGGGCCAAATGTTGCCAAATGGACTAGATTAATTTGGGATATCTGGATGGAATGGACGAGTTGGATCGAAGGGTCTGTTTCCATGTTGTACAGCTCTATGACTCTACAAGGTGAACTGCAGAACTCAGCAAGGCATCTTGCAAACTTATGATCACTACCACATGGAAAATCAAGGGAAGCATTGTGTAGGACCACCATCGCTTCCAAAATCCCCTCTAGGCCACACAATGTAGACTTCACTGCCACTTGGTTAAAATCCTAAAACTTAGATCCACAGAGCTGTAAGGAATATCTCCCTCCTACACCCCCAGTGGACTTCAGTTTAAGAAGTTAGTTCACTAGGACCTTTTCAAGGTCAGTTTGGAATGGGCTAAATGCCCTAAGAATGCTCTTCTTAGCAGTGGTGATGACATCCCATGAACAAATGATGAAAACTGTCCCCTCCCTCCAATTACAACTACCAGTAGAACCTACCCCTGCAACCCTTTATACTCTTCTGATCTGATTATCCACTCACTCATTCACTTACTCACCCAATCACTTACTCATCCATTCATTAACTTCCGTCTAAGCTATTCACCATCTTAACCTGGAAATATAGTGCTCCTGCAATATCACTGAGTAAAATCTTGGAGTTCCCTCTCTGACAGCATTGTGGGTGTACCTACCCACATGGACTGCAGCAGTTCAAGAAGGCAGCTCACCACTGTGTTTTTCTCAAGGCCAATAAGGAATGGGCAATAAATGCTGCCCCAGCCAGTGAAGCCTATATCCCATGAATGAATGAATTAAAAAAAACTTCAATTATTGTATGACTTTACATGTAAGAACTTGCCTGAATATAACAGCAGCTGTCAAGGACTTGTCCTTCCCTCCTCCTTGCATCCAGCAATCCTCTCTGGTGATGTTTGTGCTGACCCTTTGATTCTTCAGCTGTGATGGAATGTAGAGGTGAAGGATACTAAATAGTTTGGGCAGTGGGCACCTTTATGAACAGTGTCAATATGTGCAGAAAAGATGTCAACTGGAAGATTAGGGCATAGGTTTCTATAAGAATTGAACTACATCGGAAAGGGTTGAATATTCACAAATTAGAATATGTGTGTGCTTTCAAGCAAAGACAGTAGCTTGAATGATATTTGAAAACAATAGATAGCTGAAAATAACCAAAAGGACCTTGAGAATAGCTAAATGCAAGATATGGAAGAACAACAGATTTCAGAAGTCAGACCTTATCATACAACTATGGGAGTAATCTGTGGGAACTTGTCCTATAAAAGAAAAAGAAACTATATAATTGTAAGAAAAACTACTTTTATGAGACAAGGAGTTGGAATATAAAAATAAAACCTGTTCTAAGTGAATATAAAAATGACATTATGAGTTAACTTGTGTGAGCAAATGCACAAGCATGGTCAGCTTACTCCCAATCATGCAACTAAACGAAAACTCTGGTGATAATTAAGAGGAGCAAGCACTGATGCAAAATCAGAGTATTGCTTTTAAGCTCAGATCACTGAAATGTCCATGTAAATGTTTCAAGAAGTGTCTGTCTATTTATGAGACTGATTATGTACCACATGAAAGATTAATGATGACACATGCTGGTGTGGGGACAATTTGCCTTAAAGGAATATGTGGTGTCATTATTTTGGGAGGGCTGCAATAATCATTCCTGTCAGGACTAATGTGTAAATTGTTTCTGAACCAAAAAGAAAAGCTTTGTTTTCAAACATTACACAAATGCCATTTTAGTTTAGAATAGACCCTACAAATAGGAGCTCCAGGAAATCAATATTCTGGCAACGGTTGAGCTGTTAACTAAAGAAACAGGATACAATTGACATTGGAGAGCCTGTTTGCATAAGTCTCTGAAACCAGGACATGAAGAATGTCGTGGAGAAATTAAGTGGAAAGAAACTTTAGTTTGTCAGCTATAGCTCAGTTGATAACATACCCATTTCTGAATCATAAGGCTCTGGTTCAAATCTCTGTCTCAATTTTGAGCACAAAACTAAAGGCTGGTGCTCTCATTCAAAACTGAGGGAGCAGTACCTGATCTGCTGTCTTTTGGATGAGATGTTATACCAAGGCCAAGCTTGCTTGGTTGGGTGGCTGGTATCCCAACATCCTGACCAATATTTGTCCATCAATCAGCAGTGGAACACTATTATATTGCTGTTTGTTGGTTTGGTTGTGGAGGTTCAAAATATGGAACTGTGGCAAATGATGACGTCTGACTCGTGATGACTGGTAAAATCTATGTAGTTGTTGTGAACTCAGTAGACCTGTACGGCACTTAAACACACCCTTGTCAAAAAAAATTGCATCCATCCTTATAATATTTGGGGGCTAGACTTTAATCTGTAATGGACTGTTTTTGTGACATGCTGGAATTGCATTGTGAGAACTTTTACAGATCATTCTTGATGTTGTTAGTCCCAAAGATGAAACATGTAGGCACCGTGAAGGATGCCCTGAAGTGGCTGGATATTGTCCTAACAAGACTTAATAGTTTCATCTAAGGCCACTGTTCTCAAAGGACAATATTCAGCTGTTGCATCCTGCACACATTTGCAGGTATGCCATAG